TTTGACGGAGAGAGATAGTGAGAGAGGGAACACAAGCAGGGGGACAGGGAGAGGGAGAAGCAGGCTTCTCGCTGAGCAGGGAACCCGACGCGGGGCTTGATCCCAGGACACTGGGATCATGACCTGAGCCGAAGGCAGATGCTTAACGACTGAGCCACCCAGGCACCCTTGACTAATTCATTCTGTTGATGGATTTTTGAATTGTTTTCATTTTGGGGGCTATTATGAACAGGGCTGCTGTACGAGCATTCTTTTACATGTCTTGGTGGACATATCTTTTGGGTGTATTTGCAGGAGCAGAAAAGGGTCATAAACACTTGCCAAACAGTTTTCCAGAGTGGTTGTACCAGTTTATAACTCCCCTCAGCAGTAAGACATTTTATGGATCCTTTTTTTCCTCTGCATTACAGTTCACTTCTCTTACCATTCTTTTTGGTGCACACATTACCGTTGATTTGACTAGTGACATCCTCTTCATTCTTGCTCTTCTGTTCTTTGATGTATGTCCGCATCATTCTTTGAGCACTCCCTTGATTTCTGGTTCAGGTTGTTTAACTGAGCTTTAGCAAACACTTATACTGTGTAACTGAAATCCCTCTGAGAAAGTACCATTAATTTTTAAAAATTGAGGTAATTAGATATCACAAAACTCATAGTGGGTTTTAATGTATTCACTAGGTTTTGCAACCATTACTACTGTTTGCTTTCATAATTGCTTTTAATTGATGAACTTCTTAGAGTTGGGAATCAGTTTTGGTATTAGTTTTTATAAATGCTAGCCTTCAGTTTTTTGCTTTTACTTTTAACATTTGGCTATATTGCTGTTTACTTCTGTGTGGCGGTAGCATTTGTAACTCGTTAATTTATGTACTTATTTGAAGATGTGTATGTATGTTTTTAAATCAGTATCAGATATATCGGTGGGGGAAAGGAAAACTAATGGTTAAGTAGGAGGTGGAACTAGGCTTCTAAAAGGCTCCCACTGACTGATTATGGATTTCTCTTGGGGCCGGAGGCCAAGCAGATGAGTTGCTCCTTTGCCTGCAGGAGCTTCTTTTGGTTGTTACTTCATTTCCCAGTTGTTTTTAGTGAAAGGAATCTCCCATTTGTTTATTATATTAATAAGATGTGTCTCCATTAATGTATTTTTTTTTTAAACTTTTTATATACAGACTCACTAAAAAACTCGAAGAAAGAAGAGAAGAGAAAAGGAAAGAGGAGGAACAGGTAAAGTTCACGTACATCATCATTTTACTCTTCCAGTAAATGAGGGAATGTTTGATTCCCTGCTCAATTTGGCAGACCTTGGATGGCTTTCTGGTTACAGTTGAGTGTTGAAGCATAGTGAAGGGAATTACGTGGCTTCCTTAGTAGGATCGTAGTGTATACTTTTTTGTAAATTGCTAGGAATAAGTTTGATCATCTTTTTTACCCCTGCAGTGAGTCTTTTACACTAAGAATAAAGGGAATTGAATTAAAATTGTATTATTTTGATGCAGATGAAATTCTTAGTTCCTTTTTATGCAAAAGAAATTTGTAGACATTTTGCTGAATTTTCCCTCTGGTGTTGCCACATTGTGGTACACCATTCATTTTTCTCATCGTGTGCCCCTAAACTACATCATCTCTTTGAGGTTGTAGTATCAGAAAGTTATCAATTCTTTATGCCAAATAAATGACTGCCTTGTATCCTTAGAGGGTAACATTTACTTTACAAACCAAAGACCTGTAATTCTTTTTTCAAATCACATCACAAATTATATCATAAGCTTAATAGAAATGCTAAGATTTATAAGTTGATAGACACTTGACCCTTAACTCATACTGTTAATAAATTCTCTAGACCCTTATATTTTACAAAGTTATTTTATTCCTTTAGCTGTGCCCTACAGCCAGCTCATATAAAATAATACCTAAGGTGGATTATTAAGTTGTCTTTTGGGCTCATAAGACTTACCCTCTCTTTAATTTAGAGAGAAATTAAGAAGGAAATTGAGAGGAGAAAAACTGGAAAAGAAATGTTGGATTATAAAAGAAAACAAGAAGAAGAATTAACAAAAAGAATGTTAGAGGAAAGAAACAGAGAAAAGGCAGAAGATAGGGCAGCTCGAGAACGTATAAAACAGCAGATTGCGTTGGTGAGTAGTAAGTTTATTTTTAATGCTTGACTCTTGTGCAATTGTTTTTCCATGCACAGTGGTTTTGGTTTACTACCAGGCCATGAACACAAAAATAGTAGATTTTAGTGACTCAAAGAGTACCAATTTTCAGCTTCCTTTTAGTAGAAATTGTATATTGGATAGCTACCGGCCAACTCTTGATTTTGGCTCAGGTCGTGATCTCACTGTTGTGAGATTAAGCCCTGTGTCGGGCTCTGAGCTGGCCTCTCCCCCTCCAAAAAACCATAAAATATAGTTAAAATTGGGGGGCATGCCCGGGTGGCTCAGTCCGTTAAGTGGCTGACTCTTAATTTCGGCTCAGGTCATGATCTCAGGGTTGTGAGATTGAGCTACACTTTGGGCTCCATGCTGGGCTTGGAGCCTGCTTAAGACTCTCTCTGTCCCTTTCCCTCTGCCCTCACCCCCTTTAACAAAAAAAAAAATTAAAAATTGGGATTGGATGAAGAAGTAGTGTGTATATATATACACACACAATGGAATATTATTCAGCCATAAAATGAATGAAATCTTTTTTTTTAAAGATTTTTATTTTTATTTGAGAGAGAGAATGAGAGAGAGGGAGTACATGAGAGGGGGGAGGGTCAGAGGGAGAAGCAGACTCCCCACTGAGCAGGGAGCCCGATGCGGGACTCGATCCAGGCACTCCAGGATCATGACCTGAGCCGTAGGCAGTCGCTTAACCGACTGAGCCACCCAGGCGCCCAAAATGAATGAAATCTTGCCATTTGCAACAACTTGGATGGAGGTAGAGAGTATTATGCTAAGTGAAATAAGTCAATCAGAGAAAGACAAATACCATATGGATTTCACTCACATGTGGAATTTAAGAAACAAAACAAATGAGCAAAGGAAAAAGAGAGAAACCGAGAAACAGACTCTTAACTCTAGAGAACAAACTGCTGGTTACCAGAGAGAAGGTGGTCGGGGGGATGGGTGAAATAGGTGATGGGGATTAAGGAGTGCACTTGTCGGATGAGCACCAGGTGATGTATGGGGTTGTTGAGTCACTATACTGTACACCTGACACCAGTATAACTATGTTAATTATATTGAAATTAAAACAAAAACTTGATAAAAGATTAAAATTGAGATGATTTTTTTCAAAGTAATTTTTCTCTATGTTATGAATTTTATCAGTAGTCAAATGTAGTTTTCAAAAATTCCCTAGGGATGTGAGGGCGATCTGGCTGCCACATCTGTCATGCTATTTGATTGCCAGGGTTGATTCAGATAATCTGGCTGGCTAGGTGTGTGTCCCCTTCCTCCGTCGCTGCTCCATGTGTGTCCTTTCTGAAGCTGCGCTCCCCTGCTAGAACCTCCAAACAAGCTCCCAAGGTCCATTTGTAGAAGAACGTAGTTAGGCTTCCAAGACTCAGACACATCCAAATGAGGTGCTGCATGTGGCAGTCTGCCTTTCTTTAAAAAAAAAAATCCCTAGAAAAGAAGCTTAGAACTGGTTATGTAGCATTCTCCTGTAGTCACAACTGTTCTTTTCTGGGACATTCAGAAGATATAGACATCAAGTAGGTTAAGATGGTTTTGCAACAACTGCTTTTATTTATTTATTTATTTTTAAAGATTTTTAAAATTTATTTGACTGAGAGATAGAGAGCACAGATAGGCAGAGTGGCAGGCAGAGGGAGAAGCAGGCTCTCTGCTGAGCAGAGAGCCCGATGTGGGGCTCGATCCCAGGGCCCTGGGATCATGAGTTGAGCTGAAGGCAGGTGCCCAACCGACTGAGCCACCCAGGTGCCCCGCAACAACTGCTTTTAGAATTAAGTAGTTATAATACATATGAAAGCCATGTCTACTTAATAATATTGTTCATTTGTTTATGCAACAAATATTTGCTGATTACCTACTGTGTGTCAGATCTTTTTCTAGGCTCTGGCGATACAGTAGTGACCAAAATCAAGTCCTTGTTTGTTTAATAAACAACTTCGCTGGTCTCTGATAGTTCATAAAACTAAAAAATACCAGATCCAGAGTGATAAAGTTTACAGATGGCTTTAAGAAATCTCATATGCTAGAGCTACCCTATGACCCAGCAGTTGCACTACTGGGTATTTACCCCAAAGACACAGATGTAGTGAAAAGAAGGGCCATATGCACCCCAGTGTTCATAGCAGCAATGTCCACAATAGCCAAACTGTGGAAAGAGCCGAGATGCCCTTCAACAGATGAATGGATAAAGAAGATGTGGTTCATATATACAATGGAATATTACTCAGCCATCAGAAAGGGTGAATACCTAACTTTTACATCAACATGGATGGGACTGCAGGAGATTATGCTAAGTGAAATAAGTGAAGCAGAGAAAGTCAATTATCATATGGTTTCACTTATTTGTGGAACATAAGGAATAGCATGGAGGACATTAGGAGAAGCAAGGGAAAAATGAAGGGGGGAAATCAGAGGGAGAGATGAACCATGAGAGACTATGGACTCTGAGAAACAAACAGGGTTTTAGAGGGGAGGGGAGTGGGGGGATGGGTTAGCCCAGTGATGGTTATTAAGGAGGGCACGTACTGCATGGAGCACTGGGTGTTACACGAAAACAGTGAATCGTGGATCACTACATCAAAACCTAGTGCTGTATTATATGGTGACTAACATAACAAAATAAAATTAAAAAAAATACCTCATATACATTTGTGTTTGTTCCTTGTGTTTAGAAATACGTGAATAGATCATTCTAGCAGTGAAAGATAATTAGTGTCTAATACCTGTTTTAAAGGACCGTGCAGAGAGAGCTGCTCGTTTTGCAAAGACAAAAGAAGAAGTAGAAGCTGCTAAAGCTGCTGCTTTGCTGGCCAAACAGGCAGAAATGGAAGTCAAAAGGGAGTCTTCTGCAAGAGAAAGAAGGTACTTTATTTCCTGCTAAGTTATCTGTGCGTACATAGCCGCTGAGGAGAACAGCAGTTGTGAGCTGCTTTTTAACACTATTGTGTGCTGTGGCTATAGTAAGTAGTTCCAGGAGGATGTAATGACCAGTGTGGCAGTTGCCAGTGATATTTGTCATTGAATGTGAGTGTGCAGTGTAACAGTACAAAATAAGTCACTTATAAAGAAGGCTCAAGAAATCTGTTTTCAAAAGACAGAAAACACATACATTGAAATGGTTATAGTGGTTATCTTACATGTGTTAGGATTCTTTAGTTGTGAGAATCTCAGGTCAAATAAGATTAAGCAAAAGAGGGAATCATTGGCTTTGCAGTTGGGATTTCCATTGATGGATTTGATTAGGTATAGCTAGATACAGGGATTTAAAAGATAACATTTTCTCTCTCTCTTTTTAATCTCTTGGGGTTTTTTTTTTGTTTTAGCTTCATTCTGAAAGAAACTTTTATGATGATGGTGAACCCAGGGCTTCTTGGCACATTCAGGATTTTGAGCTCCTGATCCCAGAGAGGAAAAACTCTTTCTCAAATCCTATATCATTAAGTAGGGAGAATTCTGATTGGCCTTATTTGGCTGATGCGGCCACCTTCAGCTCAATCCCTGTGTCTGCTTAAATTGGCTCCCTGCTTGGGGGAGTTCACATGCTCACTTCTGTGGTGAGGAGGTCAGGGAAATGTTACTGATAATCATAACAGAATGAATGACAGGTGGCAGGGATAAGACAGTTCCCAAAACAAAAATATGTTGTAAAGAGAAAAATACAGATTTCCAGTACATCCTAGTTGGATTATGGTTAATATTTTCTTTTCTGTACTTTTTAAGATTTTATTTATTTGAAAGAGAAAGAGCACGAGCATACACACATGAAGGGGACAGGTAGGGGCAGAGGGAGAGGGAGAAGCAGACTCCACACTGAGCAGGGAGCCCAATGCAGGGCTCGATCCCAGGACCCTGAGATCATGACCTGAGCCAAAGACAGATGCTTAACCAACTGAGCCACCCAGGCAGTCCTGTACTTTTCTGTATTGGAAAATTAATGAGCATTACTTTTGTAATCAGAAAAAGTACCTTTTTTTAAAGATTTTATTTTTAAGTAATCTCCATGCCCATTTTGGCGCTCAGACTCACAAGCCCAAGATCAGGAGTTGCATGCTTCACCAACTGAGCCAGCCAGACACCCCAGAAAAACTACTTTTTATTTTGTTTTTTCAATTTTTACCACGTTTGTTTTATAATCATGATTTCTGAGTCCTTATTAAGTTGATACAGTTTGAGGAAATAAATACTTCCTTCCCTTTTTGTTGCAAAGGTACTAGTGGAGGAAGGGGAACAGAATATGAGAGAATAAGCAAAGGATGTAGGGAGCAGAAAGATGAAGTCAAAGAGAGACAGTGTTTATATGAACCCTCTGTAAGCAGTACCAACCAACAAAGTATAGAGCTTACAGCATGATTAAAAACTACTTTTTAAAAACTACTTTTTAAAAACTACTTTTTAAAAACTACTTTTTAAAAACTATTATCCAAAAGTAATAAAATACTTAATATATTTAATGAAAGTGTAAGTCTCGCATACTGAGAACTAGAAAACATTTTTTAAAGAATTAAAGCAGACATAAATACATGGAAAGATATTCTGTGTTTATAGATCAGAGGACTTAATATTGTTAAGATGGCAGTACAAAAGGGGCTTGAGAGATGAAAAAGGGGCAAAAAATGGCTGTACTCCCCAAACTGATCTGTAGATTCAACAAAATCCCTATTAAAATCCCAGGTGATTTTTTTTTTGCCAAAATTTTTGCATAAAAATTCATATGGAAATGCAAGGGTCCCAGAATAGTCAAAATTATCTGGAAAAAGAACAAAGTTGGGACACTCAGATTTTTTTAATTTTAAAACAAAGCTGTAGTAACCCGGACAGTGTGGTATTGGCATAAGGATGAGTGTATGGATCACTGTAATAGAATTGAGTCTCCAGAAATAAACGCATGCATTTCCCCAATGTTTATAGCAGCAGTGTCCACAGTAGCCAAACTATGGAAGGAGCCCAGATGTCCATCAACAGGAGAATGGATAAAGAAAATGTGGTGTCTGTATGCAATGGAATATTACTGAGCCATCAAAAAGAATGAAATCTTGCCATTTGCAACAACATGGATAGAACTAGAGAGTATTATGCTAAGCGAAATCAGTCAGAGAAAGACAAATACCATATGATTTCACTCATATGTGGAATTTAAGAAACAAAGCAGATAAACATAGGGGAAGGAAAGGAAAAATAAAAAGAGGAAAGCAAAACCATAAGAGACTCTTAACTATAGGGAGCAAACTGAGGGTTGCTGGAGGGGCGGTGGATGGGGGGATGGGGTAATTGGGTGATGGATTAAGGAGGTCACTTGATGTAATGAGCACTGGGTGTTTTATGCAACTGATGAATCATTAAATTCTACCTCTGAAACTAATAATATACTATATGTTAACTAAATTGAATTTAAATAAAAAATTAAAATAATAAAATCTTTAGAAAAAAAGGAAAGAAACTCATGCATTTATGATCGATTGATTTTTGAAAATGGTACCAGGGTCATTTAGTGGGGGAAAGAAAGGGCTCTTTCACAAATGGTGCTTGGACACATCCAAAAGAATGAATTTGAACCCTTTCTTCAAGTATAAACTCTTAGGAAAAAAATGAGAAAATCTTGTGTTCTTGGAAAAGGCAGTGATTCTTAGACATGACACCAAAAGCACGAGGAACAAAAGAAAGCAATAGATAAATTGGACTTCATCAAAATTAAAAATTTTGTGTTTCAAGGGACATCATCAATAAAGTGAAAAGATAGCCCCCAGAATTGGAGAAAATATTTGCAGACCATATAGCTGATGAGAGACTTGTATCTAGAATACAAAAAGGAGTTTTTAATAACTTAACAGTAAAAAGCAAACAACCCAGTTTTTAAATGCTTGCCAAAGGGCTAGATGAGGGAGGAGTAGGGAGCAATTGCTGATGGGTTCAGGGTTTCTTTTTGGGGTGATGAGAATGTTTTGTTGGAATTAAATAGTGGGGATGGTTGCACAACTATGACTATAATAAAAACCACTAAATTGTATTTAGTAAAAAAAAATAAAGCTATTTTTTTTAGAAGATTTTATTTATTTGAGAGAGACAGACAGCGGGAGAGAGCATGACTGAGGAGGAGAGGGAGAAGCAGGGCCCCTGCTAAGTAGGTAGCCCAGTGTGGGGCTCGAGCCAGGATCCCAGGATCATGACCTGAGCCAAAGGAAGACGCCTAACCAACTGAGTCACCCAGGCGCCCCTAATTGTATGCTTTAAAAGGGTGAATTAAAATTCAGTTGGTAGAGCGTGCAACTCTTGATCTCGGGGTTGTGAGTTCGAGCCCCAACTCAGATGTAGAGATTACTTAAAAATCTTTAAAAAATAAATAAAAGGGTGAATTTTATGTTACGTAAATTATATCTCAATAAAGCTGTTACTAAAAAATAATAAATGAAGAGGTCTCACATTGTGGGAAAAAAACCCATTTTTATTTTGCACATTTTCACTTCATTTTCTCTTTTAATGATATTGTTTGAGAATATGTAGAAGTAAAGATGCTGATTTTAATCTTCTTTTTTCATAGCACTGTTGCAAGAATTCAATTTCGTCTTCCTGATGGTTCGTCCTTTACAAATCAGTTCCCTTCTGATGCTCCTCTAGAAGAAGCAAGACAGTTTGCTGCACAGGTAAATTTATGTCTTGTCTTGAGTTGTAGTAAAGGTAGATGAATAGGTTATTAAAATGTAGGAGGAGAAAATTTCCAAGCCTGATTTGTAGAGTGTAAGTCATGACTTATCCCCAGGAGGGAAGCACCAGACACCTCTGGGGTGTGGTGGAGCTTCCAGCATGTATTAGTGCCACATAAGGAAAGCACATCTGTTTCTTGTGCAGAAATAGGGATTTCCTGATACTGTAAAATAGGCTTTGGAAACTTTTCTCACTGCTTTTGCAAATGATTATCCAAAGGTCTAATCTGAGGGAGTTGTCACCTGTAAAAGGATGCAGTTTTTCTTCCTCTCTCTTCACATTTTCTGCAGGTCACCTTGGGGCTGGCCATTTTTCCACCATCTGCCAGGTGGCCAGGCCTAAAGATCAGTAATCTTTATTTGGTAACAGGTATCTTCTTCCAGAATATGGCCTTACTCAAAATCTCAGTTGGTGTGAAATTTTGTATCTTAGAAAATAAGATACGAGTAATTTCCAATTACAGTTGACCCTTGAACAGTGTGAGTATTAAGGGTTGCCAACCCCCTGCACAGTTGAAAATCCATGTATAATTTTCAATTCTGCAAAAACTGAACTGCTACTAGCCTACTGTTGACCAGAAGCCTTACCAGTAACAGTCGATTAACACATATTTTGTATATTATATGTATCATATATATTGTATTCTTGTAATAAAGTTAGCTAGAGGAAAGAGAATGTTAAGAAAATCATAAGGAAGAGAACATACATTTATAATGCTGTACTGTAAAAAATCCGTGTCTAGGTGGGCCCACACAGTTCACACCCATGTTGTTCAAGGGTCAGCTGTAGTTTTTATTCTCTGAATGAGTCCTTTTTCAAAAAGGATTCTAGGCATTCGATGTCCTTTAGGATCTGGGCTCATGATATGCCCCACTCTTGGTCTCACGTAGCTTTTCAAGGTTAAAATTAGAGTTCAGATCTTTCCCCTAGACCTTATCTCCCCATTTAGTCTGCTTTCTCACTTATGGATCCCAAGAGAGTACCTAAAAAGCTGTCTGCCTTCCTCCACTGGTGAGCTGGGCTTTGCAATGTAAAAACATTTTTTTTTTTATTTTTATGTTAATCCCCATACATTACATCATTAGTTCTAGATGAAGTGTTCCATGATTCATTGTTCGTGCACAACACCCAGTGCTCCATGCAGAACGTGCCCTCCTCAACACCCACCACCAGGCCAACCCATCCTCCCACCCTATGTAAAAACATTTTTAAGAATCTTTTTCCCTAAGCTTACAGTGGAACCAACCCCCAGTAGCTCTTTTATTCTTCTTTTGCCCTGGAGCCCCACTTGGGGCCTCCCAAAAGGGAATACTTACTCCTGGCCTGAGTCGTACCACTGCTACCACAGGTAAGTGAAGGAGGAAGCCACATGAGAAAAAAAATCTTTGCATCAGTCCTATTAGAACTTTATTTCAGTACAGTAACCTAATTTTGTATTTTTGTATTTCTTCATGTTAGAGTAAGAACAGTGAAAGGTATGTATATGACCTCCAGTTAAAAAAAAATACAAAGAACAAAGGTGTTGGTCTGTTTCTTTGGAATCTTCTAGGGAGAGAGAAACACTTATCTAAGATTTTACAGGTATAGGTGACTTAAAATTATGAAGGTGATCGTGATGCTGCCCAGTGTAGGTTCCTGGATCTGGGAGTGTGTGTGGCAGGGATTAGACTATGGGCCATTTATTTTTTTGAGACAAGGAAGACGTGAAACTCCTGATGTTATATATATGAGGAAAGTTCTGGACTATTCCAGATTTTTAATAGGGAATGCTTGTAATCCAGATGTATATTGGAGAGATAGTAATACAAGTTTACCAAAGTATAGTGAAAACTAATGGCAAACTGTAGGAATATTCAAAAGAGATAGACAACTGTTCATTTTTACTCAATTAATTTAGATGGCTTTAGGAACTATAATCTTGCGATTTTGTGATCATTTTTGGCTTGTAAAAGCTTTTAGGTACTATTTGGATTTGGTAGCTTTGAGCTACTTTTTGAAGCACAAAGGTTTTATAAAGGTTTTGTGAGTTTACCTTTGAATGAACTTCTTTAAAATTTATTTCATTTTTTTTTAAGATTTTTAAAATTTGTCAGAGCACAAGCAGGGGGAGAGGCAGGCAGAGGGAGAAGCAGGCTCCTCGCTGAGCAAGGAGCCCAATGCGGGACTGGAGCCCTATGTAGGACTCAATCCCAGGATCCTGAGATCATAACCTGTGCTAAAGGCAGCCACTTAACTGACTGAGCCGCCCAGGCGTCCCCAATTTTTTTTTTTTTTTTTAAGATTTTATTTATTTATTTGACAGAGCGAGTGAGCACAAGCAGGCAGAGTGGCAGGCAGAGGGAGAGGGAGAAGCAGACTCCCTGCTGAGCAGGGAGCCCAATGCGGGGCTTGATCCCAGGAACCTGGGGTCATGACCTGAGCGGAAGGCAGACGCTTAACCCACTAAGCCACCCAGGCGCGCCCCCCCCTTTTTTTTTTTAAGATTTTATTTTTTGAGAGAGAGAGCACGTGCAGGGTGGGGCACGGCGGGGAGGGAGAGGGAGAGAGAATCTGGAGCAGACTCTGTGCTGAGCAGGGCCTGAACTCACAAACCTGAGATCATGACTTGACCCAAAACCAAGAGTCGGACACTTAACTGACTTAGCCCCTGAATGAACTTTAAAATTAAGGTAGTTTGAATTAAAGCAGTTGTTTTGGATGCATTTGGGTATGTAATATCTTACTTTAAAAAGGCACCTTTGTAAGGTTTTAAACTTACGTTATGTTACAGACTGTTGGCAACACTTACGGTAATTTTTCACTAGCAACCATGTTTCCCCGGAGGGAATTTACCAAAGAAGATTATAAAAAGAAATTGTTGGATTTGGAACTTGCCCCAAGTGCTTCAGTGGTACTATTGCCGGTATGTATATACGTATTTTTTTTTTTCTATCTTTACAATCCTATTTATTCTACTCCTGATCATTTCTTAAAATCAGTGGAAGGGAAGGTGAAACATGTACTGTGTGTAATTAAATTCAGATTGTCCAAAAATATTAATTTATTGTTCCATTATCCTGTGTGTATTATATTTCTATTGCTAATGAGGCATTAAATAAATATTTTAATTTTCACCTTTTTCCTCACCTATTTTCATGTACAAAAATGACCAGTAAGAGAAGAAAATAAGAAATGCAGAGTATTGGTATAATGTATGGTTTTAGTGTCTTTTATTTATGTATGATCCTACTGTTTATGAAGTTTTTAAAAAAAAGATTTTAACATAAAAGTAACATTGATTTTTAAACATATTGATCACATTTGATCCTCACAACAGTATTTTAATCTCTGATGAAGAGGCTCAGAAACTTTAAATGACTTGGCCAAGGCATCCCCTAAGTGCCAGAGATGGAGAGCCTGGTCTTCTGTATTTTGATTAGGATAGTTTTCCTGGTTCTGAACTAGAGCCCCACACCTGAAACAATTAGTCTTAATCAGGATTAATTTGTATTCACTGAGGTTTTGAAACCTTTCCCTTGTTTTTAATAAGCAAGGAAGACTTTTCTTACCAAAGTTGTTGATTTCATTACAAACAGAAGGTTAGTTCTCTTAAAAATAATTGGTTCATTTCACCAAGAACTACTTTCTAGTTTCAGTGTTGTGATTACTCCTTTAAAAAACAGAGCTCCTGGAGTTCCCAGAAGTTTATATAAAATATACATTTGAAAAACAGCAGAAGATGGTAATGGTACCTTCTTGCAGTAAACTAAAGTCAATAGGACTTTGTTTTCCAGATAAAAGATTCATCTAGAACCTTGAGTGTGATGTGGTTGGGCTCATGGAGCCTTTATTGAGGTTTATTTCTTAATTTTTAGGCAGGAAGAACAACCACATCCATGGTACATTCTTCCAGTGGAGACTTTTGGACATTGTTGGGGACAGTCCTTTACCCATTCCTTGCCATCTGGAGATTGATTAGCAACTTCCTATTTAGTAACCCTCCTGCACAGACCTCTGTGAGAGCAGCATCATCGGAGTCCTCAAACCTTGCATCATCTAGCAACTCAGAAAAAAGGTATTTGTTTGTGTTTACCCATTTCAGAAGGTGTTAGTAATGTTCAAATTCAAAATGAACATTTTTGTTATGGGTACTTTGCCATCTTTCTACATAAGGGAAAAAATTTAAATGTTCTCAAGTTTTACTCTATCATCTTTCCTGGGATGCTCACTACCTGAGTTTTCTCAACCATCTTTCTAGAACCTACTCCACAAAAATCAGCATCACCTCCGCTGATTTTATTTATTGACTTCTCCTTATCCTGTAACTGTAAAGGCAGATTTTTTTTTCCAGGCCTAAATAGTAGTATCTTTCTTGCTAACCATGTTTTGTCCAACAAGGTATTTCATTTAATTTATTTCTCACAGTAATCTTGCATACATTTTTTTGGAGGTGTCACTGTGCTTTAGATAATTTTAATCCCTGGTAGCTTTTTGATCTGCTTCCTGTCTTCTTCCTGTCTTCATTCAGAGAAAGACCAAACTGAGAAAACTGGATATTCACTTGAAAATGGAGCCTTCTTCAGAGTGTTATTTTACACTAGTCCCTTAAGCAAGAGGCCTTCTTTTTATTGCACATGGCCAAGGTTAGAATGGTAATTCTAAACACCACCACCACCACCAATGATTTTAGCTCATACCTCTGTTAAGATTCTGCATATTTGAAACAGGTTAATGGAAGTATTTTCCTGGAAGGTGGGATTGTAGCTTTTTCTAATTAAATAATAGCACGATTTATTATAATATATACCTCTTGCTGTTAAACATTGTTCAGCCATTAATACGCATTATAGCACACACCAATCCTCTGTGATAAGTAATGAAAATCCTTGCTTCGGTCTGCCATCAGTAAATAAGGTCCTTGGTCTGGGGCGCCTGGGTGGCTCAGTTGGTTAAGCGACTGCCTTCGGCTCAGGTCGTGATCCTGGAGTCCCGGGATCGAGTCCCGCATCGGGCTCCCTGCTTG